AACTGGTAAGAAATCTCGGGACGAGATTTATTTAAGGGGGTAGGTTTGTAACACCCTGAAAATTCGACCGACAAAATCAAAACTCTAAAAATACGGATTTTCAAAAACTTTTTAAATTAATTGCATCATGCGGATCTTATTCGTCTATTTTATCTGGATTTGATCTCGAAGATTATTAATCGTGAGTAAAGAATAGTTAATTAGGAATAAACCTTAAAAACAAATTGGTAAAATAAATACAAATTAAAATAAAGATTAGGTGTGGATAGAAATAAATAAAATATTATCGCGACCATATTTGGATCAATTAAATTTAAATACGATGGAATAAGAATTAACCCTAATTAAAACTCAAATAAATTATATAAAAATAAAATATGAGTAATATTAATCTAGGGTGAATTCATTAGTTAAGATAACACAAATATTGAGTAAAATGCATATATGCAAAATTAGGAATTGTGGAATAAAATTTATATGGAAAATACACTAAAATCGGGACAAATAGGAAAAGTCACTATTCATCGGCCGCCAGGTGTTCGACGTGGTCCCCTAACCCAGCTCCTCTTTCCCCCTCTCTCTCTCTCGGCAACGTCACCACGCGTCGCCGCCTCGCGCCCCGAGCCGCCGCGCGCCGTCGCCATCATCGCCTGCCGCCGCGCCACCGTCGCCATCGCCGCCTGTCGCCGTCGCCATCTCATCGCCGCTGCCGCGCCGTCGCCGTCGCGTCCCGCCTAGGGCCGCGCGTGCGTCCCATCGCCGCCTCGCGCCGCGCGCCACCACTGCCGCGCAGTCGCCGTCGCCATCCCGTCGCCGCGCGCGCGTTCCATCGCCGCCTCGAGCCGTGCCGCTGCTGCGCCGCGTGCCGTCCCGTCGCCTCGCACCCGCTGCCTCGCGCCCCGCGCCGCTGCCACGTGCTGCGTCGCCTTGCGCCCCGAGCCGCGCCGCGCCGTCGTCATCTCCGCCCGCGCGCCGCGCGCCGTCACATCGCCGCCGTCACCTCACCCCCCCTCCACCGCCCTTCCCTTCTCTTCCCTCTCCCCCTTATCCTCTCTTTCCCCTATAAAGGCCCACCATTCTCCCCTCTCCCCACTCCATCCCCTCCTCCTCTCCCTTTTCCCTCCCCATCTCCACGCGTCGCCGTTGTTGTCCCGCCGCTCCGCCGCCTTCGAGCCACCGCGCCGCCGCCACGAAGCCGCCGCGCTGTGCCGCGCCGTGCGCCGTCGTCGCCGCCGCCGTCGTCGCCGCCGCCGCCGTCGGTGAGTCGCTGCCTTCCCCCCCTGTTTGTCGCCGTGCCGCCGGGTAGAGAGAGAGCCGAGGGAGAGGGAGGAAGGGAGAAGCCGAGGGAGAGAAAGAAGAAGGAACGAGGAGAGAAACCGGGAGGGAGAGAGAGAAGGAAAAAGAAAAGAAAAGGGATAGTGAGAAGGAAAAAAGAAAAGAAAGGAGAGAGAGAAAGAAAAAAAAAGAAAAGAAAAAGAAAGGAAGGAAAAAGAAAAAGAAGGGAAGAAAAAGAAAAGGGAAATAAATAGGAAATTAGAGGGAGATTAGGGAAGTTTTAAAAATTTAAAATAATTAGAATTTAGTTATAGATTAGTTATAGTCGTAGAATTGCGAAATTTAATATAAATTATGGATTATTCTTGGTAATTTCTACAAGAAATCAATTCGCGGTAGTAGTTTAAATGTAATTAAGAACTAAACGATTAGATGAATTCTTATAGACTATTATAGATTATTTTGGGTAATCTCTATAAGTAATTGATTCACGGTAGAAATTCGGACTTAATCACTAGGAATTTTAGACGTATATTATATTTAGTCGTTTAGTCCTAGACTAAAATTAAATCGTATAATATTATAAGATAATTTTTGGATTCCGTCCGATATTTAGCTTGCGATAGAAATTTCCAACCTATTATATGGATATAACGCTCGGGTAGATTAAATTAAAAACTTATGATAACAAAATATTTATACCCACAAAATAGTTTAGGATATACAAATCGAAATTGGGTTTGCCCTAGTACGCGAATAGTAAAGTTAATATAAAAGAATCGACTTTCGCGTTCGACTTCCATTTGGATTTTTATTTGAATTCTAATCGAATCCAAATCAATTTTCGCACGTAACTATAGAGCCCGAGGGAGTTGCGGATCCAAGTGAAGGCCAAGACCCCCAAGACCTTGAGCAAGGCAAGTCATCACTATTCCTTGAACATGTTGATCCCAATTGCGAAATTATTTTGTTTATAAATAAAATTGCATGCAATGATGAACATCCTACTTGTGATTATGCCATGCCTTGATTATTGTTTATCCCTTATTCCTTCGTAACCATGTTTACGTATGAGTCCCTAGTCAATTATGACAATTGCTTAGAAATGCTATTCTAGGATCATGCATACTCATATTTATCAAATGCTAAATGCTTGGGCAATTACCTTTGGGAAGGTAATTGAGATGCGGCATGTGGAGACATGAGCACCACATTGCCATGAAATTGATAACATGATTTGTGAAAGGAAAATAAAGCGAAAACAACTGTTTTCAACTGGGGCGGACGGATGATTTGGGTGGTATCTGGGAAAGGCTAGTACCGTCCCCGGTCAATTAAGGACCGAGCCATGAAGTTAAGCATGAAACGACCCCCGTACAACCGTACTTCTCGAATGGGTATAGACCTAGCGGATTAGATAGCCGAGCGGAGGCAGTATCCCTGCATAGATGGTTCACCCCTGAGTGAGGCAGGTGCGCTACGATGGGACAACCGTTGAGGTAGGGCCGAGAGGCGTGCCCTACATCGGTGTCGCCGTTGGTAGAACTGCCATGAGTGTGTGAGAGAGAGAACTTAACTTGAACCATAATTTAATATGTGTGAGACTTCTCTTTCCCGGGACCGCCAGAACTCCTCACACTGCTAGAAACATGGACGCCTAGAGTGCATGAGGATTTAAGTTCATAGAGCGGATACTGCCAATGCGAGGTTATCGAAAAGCTTTGCCGTGACGCGCCTCATGTGTTGAGACGAGGCTCATGTGTTGGGCAGTCGCGGAGTGCGAGTAAAGTGTACATCCACTGCAGTGTGAGTGAACGAAATCTATTCGAATAGCCGTGCTCGCGGTTATTGAGCACCGGGACATGTATTACACTTGGCTAGTCTCTAAATTCTTAACTTATGTGGGATGGGTTGTTGCATGACGAATTTTTATGCTGTTGGAGCCACTTCCTGAGAAGGGGGAAGGTGGGCGTCCTCAGAAAACCATAACGACTCAATGGCGGGAAGCTATCCTTGGGATCACAATGGATGGTGGACAGAACCGTCGTTGTTTAAATACAAACACTGGTACTAAAATTTGATCAGTCAATGCTAGGTCTTAGGTTTGTGAAAAGAATTACAAAACTGGCTTAGCGCAAAAGAGCCATAGCCATCCTTTGAAATACCCCTTTCATATGCATTGTTGCTGTGGTGACTTGCTGAGTACGGTTGGTACTCACCCTTGCAAATATAAAATTAATCAGAAGCGGGAGATGAAGCTTCCGAGGATCCCTATGCCTACTACCAGGAGGGAGATGAAGACAATGGCGCTCAGTAGGTCTTAGTACGGTCGTTGCCTGTGGCAATGGTATGCCGCTGCCTGAATTCCGCTGCCTTATCTATTTTTGCTTTTGGATGTATTCCGGACCGCTCGGTCCGATGATTTAAGACAATGCCTACGGGCTTATGATGTAATAATTAGCACTAGACTCTCGTGTATGTGCTTTTGGTATTTCAGCTATGAACTCGTGTACCAGACTACTTGATCCAGGGAAATGGTACTGTTTACACGAATGATTCCTGTTATAAAAACAGGGGTCCACAGATAATTAGCTACGGCAGTTTATCATTAAATCGATTCAAAAGTCATGTGACCTTAATCCATCATTTATTTAAATTTCGATGAATGGTTTTTAAGATACGTGTGACTTTGAGTTGCCCTTAATTATAATACATATCAAAATATAATATTACATTTAAATAATATGGATGCCCGTGCATACGCGCTGGCCACCTTCTTAGTTTAAATATTAAAATTCATCAATTTGAGAACTACACGTGAATGCTATTTATTTGGGACTACCTATATATAATGTGCCCGAAAACTAGGGTCCAAATCATACAAAGTTTAAGTTACAAACAATCAAGTCTACACATATAAAATTAGATTAAGGTCAATATTCTCTATAGCAAGATAACACATTAATACGGGCACATATTTTCTTTTCTATCAAAATACGGGCATTCAGCTGGTTAGCAAATCTCTGTTATGGCCTTGTTTGGATCCTCTGGGCTATTAAATATCCCTCTGAAATCTTGCTATTTAGAAGTATTAATTAAAAACGTAGATTAACGACAAAATCGATTCCATAACCCCTAGGCTATTTTGCTAGACGAATTTAATTATGTATATTAATCCATAATTAGCGGCTAATTACTGTAGCGTCACTGTAGCAAATCATGGATTAATATACCTCGTTAGATTTGTCTCACAAAATAGCCTAGGGGTTATGGAATGGGTTTTATCAGTAATCTACGTTTAATACTCCTAAATAGCAAGATTCCGAAAGGCTATTTAATAGCTCTCCGGATCCAAACAGGGCCTATGTATGTTTATAACAGCAGGTGCATATTTTGCTCCAAAGGGGCAAAAGTGTTAGTCCTACATACAGGATGGACACGTGGATATGTATTTGCTGTCGTGTGAGTAATACATGTTACTACTGTATATATGTTACTACTGTCTGCAAAAAGAATAAATTACACTAAAAGGACTAGATATTCTTGAGAAACACAGAAAACGCCATTTTTTTAGACATTCGTAGTTAATAAGTTAATTCAGACAGAATTATCCAAGAAATTCTTTTTCTCGATAATATAAAAATGCAACTAAATAGTTTTTTCGATAATATGAAAATTCAACTAATACAATCGAGGAAAAAAAAAGAGTGTACTTGTCTCCTTACGCTGTCAAACCTAGCCAAAGCTTGTTGGCAAATCACGTTGCTGGGATTGTCATAATCCTCACCTTCGCAGTGCTCCATTATCATCTTCAGACAAACCACGTGAATGCATGTGCAATCAGAGTTAACAAAGATCACGCAGGAATCATTTAGGACATAATTAAATTTTGTGAGCCGCGTGTTCGACTGTTCACCTCATATAACTGATCTGAAATGATTCCGACTCCATGGCTGTACGGCACTCTTGATTCGAGGTCAATGCGTTCCCCTGTACTCGGATTACCTACCAGATAGCCCTGACAATCTCCCAAACATAAAATTAATTGCCGCTAGATCATTAATCAACTACTCTACCGTCCTAAAATATGAGAACTTAGAATTGGATAAGATATTTCCTAATAGTATGAATCTGGACAGACTGCCTATCTATATTCGTAGTGCTAGAAAATATACCATCCGTTTCTAGGTTTTATCCGTTTCTAGGTTTTTTAAGGAGGGATGAAGTATATGTTTTTTTAAGAGAAAATGTTGGACATGATCCTATATTGTATATATTATAACATGTTAGTAAAATTGCAGTATTTACAGATCATGATACAGGTTGTCTATCCATTGCTAAATGAGGGGTTTTAAACTATCTCTTGGTCTCAAGTTGATAATCAACTATATCTTGATATAGGAAATATACTTTTGTTTTTTTTTAATGTTCGATGGACACCCTAGTTATCACTAACACCTCAAATATATATATTAACCGGGAGTTGTAGCTTTATAGAAAAAGACATGAGCTCTACCTTCAGATTAAACGTCGGTCTGACGCCAGCTTCAATATCTGAAAACAGAGCACAAAATTGTCAAGCTTTTTGGTGCGCGAACTGATCGATCTTGAAAAGAGATCCTGTAGAAATCTGGAAATGGAATTTTAATCCTAGGCAATTTCCCCTCGTTGTTGCTTGTATTTAAATAGTTGTGAAAGAATTTGAAAAAGAATTAGAGGATATATTAGCACAGGCACACTACTAGTAATATATTTATCCACAAATATGTGGGAGTTCAAATTCAGTATCAGTAACTCATACCAAAAAGAATGGATTACGTATACGTGTGCTCACGTCATATTTGTTTCGCTAATTTGTAAAATCAAATTTAAAATTTTATGACATTAATCTAACTTGTCAAAATAGTTTTTTTTTCAGAGAAAATCTATTCTATGCCATTAAATTTATTATAGTTCAACAGTTGGTCATCGAATTTGTCTTTCTCTATAATATATCACTTCTATATTAGTTATAAAAAAACTTCTATATTATATTATGTAAGAAGACTATGTAAGTAAATATATATATATATATATATATATATATATATATATATATATATATATATATATATGTATATATATCTTCATGTTGCTTAATCAATAGTCACTCTTGTAAGTCTTAAGGCATTTTAAGCATCATTTTTGAAAAGTATCAGCCCCAATGATATATTATAGAAAAAGTAAAGTTGGAGATATATATACCATAGATGGAGATGAAGTCAATAATAAATCGTTGAATAAATTCAGTGGTATAAAATGATTTTTTTATATAACTATTTAGATCACACATAAGAAAACAAGAGCATATTCCTTTGAGATTTAAAGAGTAACCAAGGTAACATTATTGCAGCACCTTCCGAGATCTTCTGCACGATAAACGGGACGATCTTTCCGGCATAGGAGTCTCCTCCAACGTAGAACGGATTTGAGAGGTAGTGCGGATACTCAGTGAACCACTGAATCAGAGTCAAACGAGATATTAAACCAAGAGCTAGCAAGAACCAAGTACGCTGAAAACCTGGAACCAATGGACCAAAAAAAACCAGGTAGTAATGAATTACCTCCCTGAGAAGCTTGATGAGCTGCATCGAAGCAGAGACGTCGCCGACGTCGTACCCCTTAGGGTCCCTTGAGAAGGAGAAGCCGGCGCCGACCGGCGAGTCGACGAAGAGGATGCTGGCGACCTTTGTCCACGAGTAAGGGTGGTAGTGCAGCCGCGGCAAGCTGCCGTTGTAGGGCTCGATGACCAGCTTCAACGGCCCTGCGTGGTAATAATTGCAACGGGATGAACCACGCCTGACACTCTAGACAAGGAGGCTTGTTGTTGTTGGGTTGCTGACCAATCTCGAAGAAGAGGGCGCTGAGGACGGAGCAGCGGTCGCCGCCGGTGATCCAGAGGAGGACGGGGTCGGTGCTGGGGTCGCCCTCCGACTCGATGAAGTAGTAGAACAGCTCGGCGCCGTTCTCCTCGTCGACCGTCACGTACCTGTACAGAGTGACACCACAGGACCTCTCACCTATACTGATGCAGGGAGCATGGAAAATCGTCAGAGCAGATGGGGGAATGATTCTTGAGTTGTCTCACCCGGTCTCGAGGCGTGAAGGCAGCGCGCCGTCGAACCCCGGCAGCGTCGCGACGTTCGTCCGCGTCAGGGAGCCACCGGCGGCAGCGATGGTGACGAAGAGGAGGAAGCAGCAGCAGCAGAGCCGCACAGCCATTGTACTGTACTGCCTTGTCCTCGCACGGGAGAACGGCAACTGGCAAGCGGTAGCAGCTAGCGAGGTTGCAACTGCCCTCGGCACATGGGCTTTCAGACGTGGTGGCCCGGCTATCTGGTCACCCCGCGTTTTCCTCGCGGAGCACACAATATATTATGTATGTGTTCAAATCTCACCGATGACGGCATGACGCACAGAGACAGGAGGCATGTAGCTGCTGCACGGCATGGCACAGCGCTATAGGCTATAGCAGTACTCCCTCTTATATAAAATTTTTTTATAATTAGTATTTTCATTATTGTTAAATGATAAAATATAATTAATATTTTATGCGTGACTTATCTTTTTAATTTTTTTCATAATTTTTTTAAATAAGACGGACGGTTAAATGTTGGACACGGAAATCAGGGTTTGTCTTTTTTTTAGGATATAGGAAGTATGTCAATAAAAAATTAAACCTGATAAAAGATAACATATTTTAATACTATAAATCTAAATAAAATCTTATACGATGGAGGAAATAGCTCTGACTCATCAATAGCCTACTAGACTAGTGGCTTGATATACAAAATTTCAAATCCTAGATTTCGAAAGTACAACTATGGAGAAAGACAGAGAGAAACTACACCTTGGGTGCCTGATTTCTAAAAAAAAAAAAAAAAAAAGGAGTCGGACTATCAAATATTGCAGTTGACCAACAAATGAAAATTAACTTATATATAGTGAAACGAAAAAAATAGCAACTGAAACATTTAAAAAAATTATGAAACACAGTGAAGATACACATTGAAATATGTCGATATCACGTACTCCCTCCGTCCCATAATATAAGTGATTTTGGAAGGATTTTGTGTCACATCCCCCCAAAATCTCTTATATTCCTCCAAAATCTCTTATATTATGGGAGCTCCTGTCCAGATTCATTGTCTTAATATGTGTCATATCCCTCTAAAATCTTTTATATTATGGGATGAAGGGAGTATGAAACTTAACGGTTTGAAACATATATTTTTCTTTTATCAAAATATAATTATATAATTTTTATTAAAAATTTTAATAACAACGATATACAACGATATGATCAGATCAAAATAAAACATATGTTCGCCGTTTTTAGGTTGGTGTCAGGTTGCGTGTAATTGGAAGGGTTACTGGGAAGAAAATAATCATGGTTCTAACAGTATTTTTACCACGCACTGTCGGTCTGGCCCCACGGAGGAATCAATAACACGCACGTCTCTGTGGTGAAGTGCACAAGATTATAAAACCATAGTCCCGGAAAAATAATATATGAAGATCTTTCAATAGGGTCAAATTTCTGTGTCATATTTTAACTAGCCCATGATTCGCATATTTGCATGACTCTACACATTCCGTCATGTGATATGTGAGAGTGACAATTTGTTTTTCTTATGTTTCTTATTACTACGAAAAAAATTGGTTAAAATGAGTGATGGTATTACCCTGATACAGTAAATGGCAGTAGAATAACGATTTTTCCGTACGGTCGGAATCGGTTTTTGCGTGCGGATCTTTCACCCATCTGGAACGAGGTGTCTGCGAGATTTTCGGGAAAATAAAAAATCGAAATAAAAAAATCAAAAGCCGCCTGGAACCCTAATCCAGCCGTCGTCGTCGCCGTCACCGCCATCGTCGTCGTCATCGCCTTGCCTGAGGCCTGCCACCATCATCCCCACGGACGCGGCGATGGATCCGGCCTCCCCGCGGTGGCAGGCGAAGGATCCGGCCTCCCCGGCCAGCGACGGATCCGCTCCGCCGCCGCCACCATGGCCGATGCTGCCATCGCCCTAGCCGAGACCGTCGCCGTCACCGGGAGATGGGAGGAGTGGGAGGAGGAGGGGGATAGGGAGAGGAAGGAGTGGGAGGAGGCGGGCGATAGGGAGAGAGGGAGGAGTGGGTGTGGGGCGGAGAGGGCGATGGGATTTGAGAGGGAGATGGGAGGAGTGGGTATGGGGCAGCGACGGAGGGATTAAAAAGGTGGGTGGCAATTTTCGTGTGCGGGTCACTTAATAGGTCCGCACGCGAAAATAAGTGGCCCACCTGCGAATATTGATTTTTCTATGCGGTCATTTTAATGAGCCGCACGTGAAAATGGAGCATATTTTTTTTACAGACGCGACCACTTACAGTTCGTCTGCAATCAAAAATGACTCCCATTCAGAAAAATCATTCCTATACTAGTGTGGCTTAATATTTATTGTAAACTTTAATAGGTATGATTCATCGTCTTTATATGTGTCTTTACCATTGTATGATTTTTTTTCTCCTCCACTTATTTTTCATGGTCATAGGTTTTGTACCTTTTTAAGAAAATATTTTAATTTTAGATTCATTTTTAATTTTATGTGAAAGTCACTAAACATATATTCAGGTGAGGATGACCTCTTTATTGGAAGGAATGTACATGTCTCTGTAGCAATTTTTTCTCTAATACATTAACAATAATTGCTACAAACAAAAGTAATCACATAAACATACATTTTGAATATGCCCTGAATAGCTCAATCTTGACTAATGAATCTTTAGTTAAAGGACGAGGGTTTTTTTTCCCTTCAATTCCTTTCTTTCTTTCTACTTCTAGTAGTTACCTCCGGAATGTGTTTTATTACCATCCATAATCCAATGGTCCAAGATTCATTCACTCTCTTTTGTCTTGTAGTAAATCCAACGGCTAATATTTGTCAAATGATGTGGCTCATTCCCGTTTAACTTTGGATTTCACTTTTCACTTTGTTAAGATTAGTCTGTTGGTTTCTCCTTGAAGAATAATTGGATGCATGCATACCTTCAAGACATACCACCCGCGAATGTATATTTGTGAACGACCTTTTTCACGGGTTACATTCAATTATTTGTGAAATCAATGATTTGATTATTTTTTATGAACAACTGGAAAGAAAGCCTGCGCAAATACACAGATATCTTATTTATTTGTTGTTCAGAAAAAAAGAATGCTAAAAAAAATCATATATCACTATATACACCATAAGAGACGGCAGATTATCTAACAATAAAAAGTAAATATCTTTGTGGTAAAATAGAGGTAGACTTTATGTAACACCCAAATTTTTTATACCTAAACACACTAGTACAGAAACTGATAGGTGCCGGTTGGGAACTAGCAATAGGTGCCGGTTTCCCTGCCGGCACCTATTGCTCGGCAGTAATGACACTAGGTCATTGGTGCCGGTCGTAGAACCGACACCTTTGCTCTCTCCCTGATTAAAAAAAATAGAGAAGCTGGCTCCAAGCCAAGCAGATGCTTGTGAGCCACACCATTCAAGCGAAGCAGATGCAATCCATCACAAATCAATAAAAATAATTTTACGGTCAACAACAACAATCACAGATACAATCCATCACATATCTCCTATGAACAACAAAATCCATCACAGATCAACAACGACAATCACAAAGTCCCAGGTCAGCAACAATCCAATCCATCACAAATCACAGATCAATAACATAAGTAATTAAGATGCACGAACTCACTCCGTCATCGTCAGTCCGCCGCTGCCAGTCGTAGCTGGGATCCCTTGGCCACCCGCTGCTGCTGTCGCCGCTTCCCTTGGCCACCACCGCCGCCGCCAACCCACCAACCGGATCTGCGCGCCATTGGTGGGAGGCCGACGAAGAGGGAGAGGAGGGAGACCGGCCGGATCTGCACCCCGTCACCTATGGGGAGGCCGCCCACCACCTCCCTTGGCCACCACCGCCGCTGCACGTCGCCGCCACCAACCCACCAGCCCGACCACCTCCTCCCTAGATATGGCTAACTCCGGTGAGGCCGACGGAGAGGGAGAAGAAGAAGAGGAGGGGACCTGATTTGCACATCCCCGTCGCCCGTGGTGAGGGCGCCGGTCACAGGTGCCGCTGCTCACAGTTTGGCCGTCCGGGAGAGGGGGACGCAAGGGGAGGGAAGCGGCTGGCTGGCCAGCTAGGAGAGGGGGACGCAGGGGGAGGGAAGCGGCCAGCCGGCCGGCTGGGAGAGGGGAGCGAAGGGGAGGCTGCAGGTGCTAGAGGGAGAAGGGGAGGGAAGGGCGGCGGAGGAGGATACAGGCGAGACGAACGAGTCGAAGCGTGTCACGCCCAGAAATTTAACCCAAATTTCCAGACTATTTTGTGTATTAAATCCCTGTCCAAGACCAGCCAGGGTACACAAAACAACAAGTAATATATAGTTCCAAACGTAAATAAAGCATAAAATACTTACAGAAGAGGCACTTAGTCCTCGCACCGAAGCGAAAGCAGCAGCAGCGGAAAAGGCGATCCTAGCGGGGCTTCAGCTTCACTCCACAGGCAAAACTCAACTGGGGTCTGAGCCTTGATCCTCCAACTTCGTCTTTAGCTCAGAAACACTATACTTCTGAAAAAGGGGGAATAATAGTAAGGCTGAGTACAACCACCGTACTCAACAAGCCACACCAATGATACAGACGTGCAAGGGGATACAAGGATGGCTTGCGGCTATTTGCATAAAGGCGGTTGTAAAACATTTTATTGAGCAAAACAGTAAAACTGTTGAGTAATTAAGGTGACATTAAATCTCCACTGATCAATGCTACACCACGTTGAACAGGCCCAACCAACCCACCTGAACTAACCAGTGCATTGAGTCGATTTACTAAGGTGAGACTAATCATGGTGAATCTGGTTGATCGCGCATAACCGCGGGCATGGCTATTCGAATAGTTTTACTCTAGCCAGAGGTGCACAACTGTACCCACAAGACACAATCCACCGGCATGTCACCGCGCCAGGCCTGACACGTCACCATGTCGAGTGATTGTGACAAGACCCTTCATATAACCCCTTCTGACCAAGCAGACCACACCTCAGGTTTCACCCCCACTCCTCAACAGGCAGCGGGCAATCCCCTCTCATGCCTAGGCGAATCAGAAAGCCACATAGGTCATCGCAGTGCCCATCCGAACTCCATCATGCTCACCCTTGCCTGGATGCGTCACCCAAAGGAAAGCTATACTTCAAGTCAGGCAGTTACCCATTCCCGCTTGTGGCAAGCGTTGTATGTCTTCCAGGGTGTCCCGCGAACCACTCCTTAATTGCCATGGGTGCGGCTAGCAAAACCATGCACCCACAGCCCACCATCAAGTCG